CTGATTCCGCGGGGCCACGAAATGACACCCCGGGGAGCGGGTGACTCACTCGCCACACCAGCTCTGTCCACTACTCCATGGAATTAATTTCTTGCTACTGTCATGGGCTTCAGTGCCCCGTGAGGAACGTTTTTACAACGAATGCCAAATTAACGGGACTGATTAGAGCTTTCCCAAGTTATTAATGGGATGTCACCTCCGCCTGGTCCTCTCTGTGGAGGCGACATTTCATGAAATAACCTCTTCTTGCTGGAAAGATCAATCTCCCTCCCTCACTGGCCTCGTGAATGCCGAGCAGGTGCTGCCTGCCCTGTGGCCCCCAGGACGGGGCGAGCAGCAGTGCCCTTGGGGACGCGTGACGAGGTGGCAGCTCCGCTCCCTGCTGGCTTTCGGGGAGGGGCGGGCACCACTGGCCAGCCATGGGCGGGGGCTGGGAGGAGGAAGCAGGGCCATGAGCTTTTCCAGTTCCCCCAGCTTTAGTGAGATGAAACCCACACCGCAGTGAGAAGTTTAAGGCTTACCCAGTGATGAGCACAGAGCTCAGCTAACTCCTCCATCCCTACAGAGTTACCATCTCCTAAGCCCGACAGGGGAAGGCAAGTTCTGCAGATTCACTTACATGTGGAACCTAAAGAGCCACACTGGCAGGAGGGGAGTGGGATGTGGTCACGGGGCTGGGGAGGGGTCGGGAGGTAGAGGTCGAAGGGCACACACTTCCCGTTAGAACTGCAGTTCTCAACCTATGGGTCTCGACCCCTTTGGCGGTCGAACGACCCTTTCACAGGGGTCGCCTAAGACCATCTTGCATATCAGATATTTACATTATGATTCATAACAGTAGCAACATTACAGTTATGAAGTAGCAACAAAAATAATTTTATGGTTGGGTCACAACATGAGGAACTGTATTTAAAGGGCCAGAAGGTTGAGAACCACTGCGTTAGAAGATGAGTAAGTTCTGGGATGGAATGCCCGGTGTTTTATAAGAAGCATAGTCTCTATCCAAGGGGTGGTTTTGTGGGGGGCGGGAGGGGGAGGGCGGCAGAGCAGGGGGCCTGCTACACCCCAGGCACGCCTTTTCCAGACAGACAGACGCTTGCAAACCTACCCAGGGCTGAAGGCGCAGAACAGGACTTGGAGGTTTGCTTTCTGAACAGCATCCCTGCCCCCTGAGAACTGGGGGAGACTCCTCGGGCGCCCCCAGGCCCTGCGCCATGTCCTGCAGTCCTGGCTTCACCAGGGCAGCCAGAGTCGGCTGACCACACCCCTCTCATCTGAGACAATTCTCTTCTCTTTCTCCACGCTTTGGGTTAGCCAAGGAAGAGCCCTAATGCAGCAACAACGGAGCCACCGTTTATCAAGCACTTTCTTCACTAGAAACGAGGCTTTGTGCGACATCTCTACATGGTTCCCGTAACCCACACAAGGCCCAGAGACTGTGACTGCCTCCTCTCGGTGACGGCGCGCCTCAGTGAGCGCCAGAGCCAAGGTCTCAGGGCTGCCTTTGGGATCTGAGACCGGCGATGTGGCCGGGAGGTACAGTGGCCTCTCCGGACGATGCTTCTAGGTTCCAAGTCGGGCTGGTCCGGGTGTCTGCGGTCCCCTCCCAGCACGCCCGCCCCCCGCTCCCGCCACCACACACACCTAGGGCTGGCTTGGTGCTGCAGGGTGTGCGGCACCCCCTGGCCCTACTGTGTGCACTCCGCCGTACCCCGGAGCTGACGGTCCCCCAGGGCTCTGACCTTTTCCCGACGCCATGCCTAGGGCACACCCCTCCTCAGACCTGGGGCCGTCTGCCCTTTGTCCCACTGAGCAAAGCTTTTTGGAGCTTGAAGAAGAACCCTTTCATCTCGCATCTCACGCTGAATTATTGACATTTGGGCAGCATGAATTTTTCACATTAATGGGCTATTTAAAAACATTTTTCTTTAAAGCAGAAACCTGAGTGCTTTAAAGAAAAAGCCTTTCTCTTTTCTTTTAAGTGACCCAGTGTGAGTACAGAAAACCTCCAGCTCCAAGTTTTCTTCATCCTTCATGACGCCTAATAAACGGGTCAGCACCCTGTCCTGGGGGCTGTGCCATGATGGGGGGCAGGGGCGTGCTAGAGAGGAACCACCTCCTTCGGTGAACGGGGCTGTGCCATGATGGGGGGTGGCGTGCTAGAGAGAAACCACCTCCTTCAGTGAATGGGGCTGTGCCATGATGGGGGGGTGGCATGCTAGAGAGAAACCACCTCCTTCGGTAAACGGGGCTGTGCCATGATGGGGGGGGGTGGCATGCTAGAGAGAAACCACCTCCTTCGGTAAACGGGGCTGTGCCATGATGGGGGGGGTGGCATGCTAGAGAGGAACCACCTCCTTCGGTGAATGGGGCTGTGCCATGATGGGGGGGGTGGCATGCTAGAGAGAAACCACCTCCTTCGGTGAACGGGGCTGTGCCATGATGGGGGGGTGGCGTGCTAGAGAGGAACCACCTCCTTCGGTGAATGGGGCTGTGCAGGAGGCGGAAACATGCTGAGACTAAAGGCTCATAAGAATCTGGTTTGTAAAGTTTAGTTTCCTGAGATGGACTCAGTCCTTTCAGAGCCTCAGCTGTTACGTCCCAGGCCCGAGACATACCCACAGGGGAGAGGGCGGTCCAGACCCTAAGGAGGGTGTCCATGACTGGGAGCCAGAGAGCACAGGTGTGGACAGTTTGGGTATGAACTTGGGGGGCTGGATGGGAGGGGGCCTGGTGAACTTGGGGGGCTGGGTGGGAGGGGGCCTGGTGAACTTGGGGGGCTGGGTGGGAGGGGGCCTGGTGAACTTGGGGGGCTGGGTGGGAGGGGGCCCGATGACTTGGGCTGGACAGGTTCACTGATGACAACTGGTAACCTGGTGAGTCCCCGAAGGAGCCAGCCTTGAGGGTCCGGGCTGGGATCTCTGCTGAGAGCTGACCTCCTGAGGGAGCATCGGGGAGCGGGGTGAACATTGAGACTGTGGCCTGGCGGTGGGTTCAGTTCTGGGTGTAATTTTGTGAAGACTGGAGGACGCACGAGTGTTGGTTAAGAAAAAGGAGCACACTCAGGCCAATGCCCGCCTCCTCACCCGCTGTGCTGGACACGAGGTGTGGGCGGGGGACGGGCAAGGGAGGGTGGGGACGTCCCTGAGGGTGTCCGGAACTGAGGTGCATGAGGAAGCTCTGCATGCAGGCAGGTCCAGGCAGAGGGAACGGAGCCGTCCTACACAGAGAAGTCTGCAACAGCGTCTGTTCCGTGGGAGTCGCTGTTGCACTGACTCCTTCCAGATGGAGAGGGAGGGGCGGGCGGCATCCCTTCACCAGTTCGCATGTATTTCTTCATGGAACCCCGTTTCATCGGCCAAACCACCTCCTATTCTAGGCTCAGTAGGTAGCGTCTGATTCTGGAACCTGGAGACCCATCCTGAACACCTGAGACCACAGACCAGCACCATTGAGGGGGGCCGAGGCTCCGCGTGTCCAAGTCCCTCCTCCCTCCCCTCCAACAGCGCACGGAGGCCGGGCAGCACCGCCGACCCAGGGTGTGATCTGAAGGCCCAACAAAATCTGCCCTGAACGTCAGACACTCATCAGAGGCCACGCTGCGGCCAGGAGCAGCTGCCTTTGACCCGCCTGGTGCCGGGCGCCTTCCTCCTGTGGTGATGGGTCCGAGCCCCAGGCATCACGGAAGTCACTCCGCACAAGGAGGGTCAGTGCGTGGAGCCCGTGGTGGACTCTCACGCAGCTGCTCTCTGCTCCAGGGGGACACCCTCAGGCCAGGGGGCCTCGCTATAACGAGGTCCGTTTCCCTTGCGAGGTAGTTACCTTTTAGGATAAAAGGGCAGCGAGGAACCTGTTAGTGTGCGAGGCCTGCTCACAGGTTGTGGGTTTCCATCCCAAGAGAAGGAGCGCCGGGGGCCTGTCCGCGGGGAGCTATCCGGGGGCCTGTCTGCAGGGAGGTGGCCGGGGGCCTGTCCGTGGGGAGCTGGCCGGGGGGGTAGCCTGTCCTCGGGGAGGTGGCCGGGGGCCTGTCCACTGGGAGCTGGTCCTGGGTCAGCTTTCCCAGCCAAGATGGCCAAGGACTCAGCAAACCACAGCGCTGCCCAGACCCCTGTCCTGGTAAACCACGTTTTATCAGAACATGCGTTCCCCTTGTGTCGGTCCGTCTACCACTGCTTTCTCTCCACGGCAGCGAAGCGGAGTCGTGGACACGGAGGCGGAGTGGCCCGCCAGCCTGAACAGCCACCCGGCCCCTCACGGGACACGCTTGCCGGCGCCTCCGCACAGGACGTGCTCTTGGCGGCAAGTTACAGCGTCTGCTCCACTCAGTACGAGAGCTGCACGGTGAAAACCTCAACGTCCCCAAAGTGTGAAAACTCAGAAATTCCCCGAGCGCATTAGCCGCCTCATGCTGGACGGGAACCCCTGAACGTGTGCCCAGATCCTGGCTGTTGGCCTCCGTCTAATCCAGTGGTTCTCAACCTTCTGGCCCTTTAAATACAGTTCCTCATGTGGTGACCCAACCATAAAATTATTTCGTTGCTACTTCATAACTGTAATGTTGCTACTGTTATGAATCGTCATGTAAATATCTGATATGCAGGATGGTCTTAGGCGACCCCTGTGAAAGGGTCGTTCAACCGCCAGAGGGGTTGTGACCCACAGGTTGAGAAACGCTGGTCTAATTGCTTCATGTCCACCGACTCCTGCGTCGGGAAAGGTGGATTTGTCTCCTCGCCGTGACCGAGCGATGGATCGGCGTCCGCCCCAACGTCCTCCCCGCCCCGTCACACTTCCATGCCGGTCAGCTAACTGCTTTTCCAAAACTGCTGCCAGGTTGTTAGCATCAGGGACACTTCGGTGACAGCTCAAATAGTTTTGTCACCCACATACTCCTGTCTCTTTAAATCAATTCGAGGCAGTGGAATGAATACGCAACCAGGAAAGAGGTCTCCCTGTGGGGAAACAGTCCTGGCTTCATCTCCGGGACCTCGAGTGCACGCTCACTGCTCACCGAAAGGCCCGCTTCTGTGCCGTTTTAGGAAAAGGGTCTTTAAGTGCAGCTTGAGCCCGTCAGCTTCAAGATGCAGGAGATGGCGACTTGAAGGCAGCAACCGAGACACGTGACCTTCAAAACGGGGGGGGGGGGCTTCCTGCAAAGGGGGAGGTGCAGTATGATCTCTGGAAATAAAGGGCTTAGACAATGTGGGCTGGAGAAGGAGCAGACGTGGGAGGTCCTCTTACCCCGTCCTCCCCTCAGTGCTCGGCCGGCTGACAGAGCCCGACAGTGGCAGAGCTGACCCGCGGGAACTCAGTGGGCAGCCTGGACCGAACCCCAGTCCTCCCCCCTCCCCCTCCTGCCCCCCCCCCCCGCCTCACTCAGGGCCTCTCACCAGGCCCTCCCACCCCCTGGCCTCGCTCAGAGCCTCTCACCAGGCCCTCCCACCCCCTGGCCTCGCTCAGAGCCTCTCACCAGGCCCCCGCCCCTCGGTGCTCGCAGACAGCTTGTGCTGCCAGTTGGAGTAGGAACCGTGAGGGCGTTGGGTGCAGAGCCTAGAGGTCACCAGCCCTGGGATCCTGCACCCGATGCTGCTCCAGGGCTGGGAGCCGAGCCCAACTGTGACCACAGATCGACCTTCTTCACCGAACCCGCCAGAGAAAGGAGCCAGCGTTCCCACGGCAGCGCCAGTGCGGCGTGAGCAGGCCTCACCGTGAGCTTTATCTGAGTCACGCCCACAGGGCCGGGGGACCAGGCCCAGGACGGTGTACATGGAAACCAAAGCAAACGCGGTTCCATTCCTCACCCGAGGACATTTTTTTCATTGACGTTTAGAGAGAGTGGAAGGGAGGGAAGGAGAGTGGGAAGAGACACAGAGAGAGAAACATTGATGTGAGAGAGACGCATCGATTGGTCGCCTCCCACATGCACTCCGACCCGGCCAGGGAGCGAACCTGAAACCCACGTACATGCCCTTGACCAGGAATCGACCCTGAGACCCTTCGGTTCGTGGGCTGACACTCTAACCACTGAGAATTCTCTATCGGGAAAGAAACCGACGTTTTACACGTGCAGAAACCCTGCTGTGCTATCCACATGCCACTCACGCACGCAGACCAGCGGTGAGATATGTTCAGGCTACAAGGCGTCGCCTCCATCCCAGGAGCACGCGGCCACGAACGCGCTTGCTTACCAGCTGCTGGCCTTTGGGGCCCCAGCCTGCGTACTGCAGCTTCGCGTCGCTCACCTCCGGCGGGTCTAGGCTCTGAGGGTCCCTGGAAAACACGACAAAGAGAGCAAAATGGTGGGAAGGAACGGAGAGTTAAGGGCTGTACTTTGTTCTGCCCCTCTCCCCTCTCCCCTCTGCCCGCTCCCCCCCCCCCCCCGGGTCACACTCTCCAGGAGCCGGCTCATCGGGACCAGGGTCCCTCAGGCGTGTGAGGTGGACTCAGGTCCTCATGCTGAGCCCAAATAGCAAATATTCCCCGGGAGAGAACCTGCGGAGGAGTCTATGAACCGATTTTTAAAAATATTCAGAACCGTCAAAATTAAAAACTGAAATGCATGGCTGTGCAGCAATAAATCCCCTTGTTCACAGCTTCACCTCTGGATCTCCTGACAGAAGTTACTTTTTTCCTAAGCCTAACGCCAGGCCGTTCGGCCTTTCGGAACCAAGCGGCTTCAGGGCGAGATTCCATGTTTCGGTTTGTGTTGAACCAAAAGGGAGGGAGAGAGAGAAGGGGAGGTTGAGAGAGATTGAGAAAGACAGAGCGAGACTGAGACGGAGAGATTGAAAGAGTGAGAGACAAAGATTGAGAGAAAGACAGAGAGAGACTGAGAAAGATGGAAAGAAGAGAAACATTTTTTCCTTTCAAACATCACCTACATTTTTTCACTCTTAATTTATTATATGCAAAACACCACACCAACAAAACACTGCCTATGTACTTAAAGGCCATACGAATAAAAATCACCACGAAGACTACAAACACCTGTGCGTTAATAAGCGTAAATATTTCAGGGTAAGTGCAGCGGCGCCATCTGCAATGGGCAGAAGAGACGGCAAGTCTCTCCTTGGTGACGCTGCTCCCGGGAGGCTCTCTGGGCTCTGCAGAGCAGGCGGCCCGCCAGGAGCACCCTGCCTGGTGGCCGCGGTATTTCTTAAGCAGAAGACAGAGCTATGAATGTGCTCATTCACCTCCAGAGAGACGGTGGCTGGATGGTCTTTGGGAAGGGAAGACGCTGAATTTAAAGGACTTGTCTGAACCAAAGACACAGGCGTGACGGGAAGGGAGGGGAAGTGGGTAAGGGCATGTTGAGTGAGGGCTTGGGTCAGTAGAAAATTCTAAAAGTAAGTGCTTAACAGTCTACCAGGACATGGAATACATTTCAGAGTCAAAAGCACTGGTAGAAGGGACAGTCTGCCCTGCCCTGCAGGTTCAGGCCGGGCCCCTGGGTCTGCAGGAAGCAGTGAGGGGGACAGTGACAGATCCGGCTGGGTGCCCAGCTGTTAGCAGAGCGATTGGGGGTCTGAACATGGCAGGTTCCCAGTGAATGTTTGCAAACCTACCATTTGTGTGATTTTAGGGTTTCGAAACATATATATATATATATATATGTATGTAATATGCAGATGAGGCCAGGACTCCTTAATGGTCATGACCATCTCAGGAGGAGGGGCCAGGCACAGCCCAGAGCCTGAGAGAACAACACGCAGGTTCAGCCCAGAGCCTGAGATATCAACACAGAGGGTGCCTGCTCTGAGCCTCTGACTCAAGTGGGGGCAGGCCCCCAGCCAACACACACACACACACACACACACACACACACACACACAAGCGGGCGCCTGCTCTGAGCCTCCGCTGCCAGACTGCTGACAGACCGCTGGAGCGGGCCTAAGCAGTCAGTAGGACATCCCCTGAGGGGTCCCGGACTGTGAGAGGGGGCAGGCTGGGCTGAGGGACCCCCACCCCCCCGTGCATGAATTTCGTGCACCGGGCCTCTAGTTTTTTCATAAACAAGGGTGACTTCCTCACTGACTTTGTATGGGGAAAGGTTTTCTAAGGATAACTCAAGATTCAGAAACAATAACATAAAAGAGTGACACATTTGAGGACATACCATAAACAGTTTTGAAAAATTGTTGACAAAATGTCACAAAAGACAACTGAGAAAGTGGGAGAAAATATTGATAACACACTCCAGACACATGGCTGAGCTCTATCAGACAAAGAACTCTAAAATTAAGGTTGCAAAAGACACAAGATGGTAGCAATGTGAGAAAAAGACATGAGCAGACAAGTGTCTAAAAAGATATTAACATGGCCCTTGAACATATGAAAAGTACTGAACAAGCAATATTAGAGAAACGAAAGTGAAACTATACTGAGTTATCTCACCGATGAAACTTGCCGAGAACAACAAGGAATCGAGGAAAGTGTGGCGTGTTGTGTTGGCGAGGCTGCGGGCCAGGCATGCACACCTGTGCTGGCGGGTGCACACCTTCCAGGATAAATTGGAAAACCTGGTAAAATCCACCCTGAACTTTAGACCTAGTTCACTTCCTGGCAGATCCACCTCTAACGATACAAAAATACACACGCGGAAGCTGTGTGCACTGCAGCTTGGCAGTTGCAAAATCCGAGCAACGCGTGGTTGAGTAAGTGGCACCCCAGTGGCATATGACAGCCGTCACGAAGAGGGAAGGTCTCCGTCAACCCACAGGAGAGGCTTCCACAACTGAGCTACGCGGAGCCAGCAGGGACCCCATCGGGTGAGATCCAGCATCTAGAAGGGACGTGGGGAAATAGGTGTGGGCCTCCTCATGTGTGGGGAACAGAATGCAGGAGCCGGAAGACAGACACCAGCGACTGGCTGCATGTAGGGGTGAGTGGAAAAGGAGGCTGGGAGCGAGGTCAGAGGGCTGAGGAAGACTCCGTTTCTCTGGGTGTATTTGTTGGTACAACTCCTGGCCTTACGCTATATAGGGTTTCGCATACCTTACATCCCCCTGCACCCCAAATAAGACAAGTGATGAAAAACAACTGGATGTGGGGAAACTGACCACAGGACAGACCGCGTTTCAAAGGAAGCTCCGTCCTGCACAGAGAGGCGGGAGAAGGGAACCACTGGCAGGGGCTTCTGGAGGCCGCTGGACAGGAGCTGCGCCATGCAGACAGGAGCTGGGGTCTGGGAGTGCGTCTCCCCAGGGTGCGGGAGCAACTCTGAAGGTACCCCAGGTGTGCACTAGAACGGGCTAATGTGCAAATGCGGAAATATGCTGCAGAGATGAGGGCAGGCTGCCCCTGCTGGCGGATAGTGATGAGGAAGGGAAGAGCGAGAGTGAACCCAAGGGAGTCTTATCTGCTGACCTACCGCCCAGCTTTCATAGTGTTTCCTTGGGGGGCACGTGCTTCCCTCAGAGAGGAAGCCCTGGGTGGGGGGCGGGGGGGGGGGCGGCACTGCTCTCAGCCCAAGACCTGGTTCATTGTCATTCAATGGACTGAAATCCTCAGGTGTGTGTTCATGCATTTATGAGAGAGAGAGAGAGAGAGAGAGAGAGAGAGAGAGAGAGAGAATGCATTCATTTATTTTGGTGTTAGTTCATGCTCTCGCCCCATGTTTCTGTCTTTCTCTTTATTTACTCATTTGTTTTAAAGAATCCAT